AAATGCGTATTTGACTGAAATCGCAGACGCGGGGGACGCGTATTCGAATCACAGACTATGTTCCAGATAGAGCCGAGGCTGACAGGGTAGCCGATGTGATCTACAGTGCTCCGTAACTTGATGCGGCGAGGGCCAGCGGTCATGTCGTTATCCCCGATTGGTGTATATTACTCCGGAGGCTCCGCCTTGTTGGTTGGGGAATATATCACCTGGTGTAACACATCGCTGTCGTTGTGAATCACTTATAATGATACTAGTTGATGATCCTGTCATAGGGTATGCCTACCAAGTAAGCACCATAACTTAACCACCTTCCGCATCCGTACGCACACGCTTACCAACAGAACAACGGTCAGCTACAACTTGAACCTTGCAGCTAAGAATCGTGGATTCAGTGGATACCGATCATCGTTCACTTCTACATAGCAGGGCGTTAATCTGAAGGCGTTACACGAACCACTGGCAGCAGTACAGAGGCGGCCAATCATCGGCCACCAGACCGCGGTGAGACGCTTGAGAGATCATTGGCTCGTTGCTTCTCACCAAAAATCTAACTATGGGTGAGCAGATGATGCGGCGAGAGAATGTGTGGTTTCTAGGTTCCGACTCCTGAGCAAGCGTGGGGAGGTCTGGTGACGAGGAAGTGGAAACAGAAGAACCTCGGCGAGACATCTTCAGTCAGTGTACTTCGTGAATTATATTTGAAGAAGGTGGAAACCTCTCAGCCACCTTCTATCTTGTCTTCGTGCCAAAGCAAGGACAGACACTCAGACAAGTCAAAAAGTCAGATCAGACTCATCATCATCATCAATATTTGGTATCTACAACACATACGTTCCTATCAAGGAATCCATCATGAAGACCTCCATCATCGTCGCCCTCGCCGGTGCTCTCGCCACCACCACCCTCGCCGCTCCCGTTGCTTCCAGCGACGCGGTTGAACCCTTCGTTCAGATCAAGGCTCGGGACGACGCTGTCGAGCCTTTCGTCCAAATCAAGCGGGACGACGCCGTCGAACCGTTTGTGCAGATCAAAGCACGTGATGATGCTGTCGAACCCTTCGTTCAGATCAAGGCGCGTGATGACGCCGTCGAGCCCTTTGTGCAGATCAAGGAGCGGTCGGAGGGGATCATCGAGCCCTTTGTCCAGATCAAGGCGCGAGACGATGCTGTTGAACCCTTCGTGCAGATCAAAGCCCGCGACGACGCTGTTGAGCCCTTTGTCCAGATCAAGGCGCGCGACGATGCTGTCGAGCCTTTCGTCCAGATCAAGGCTCGCGACGATGCTGTCGAGCCCTTTGTGCAGATCTAGATTGACTTCACGGTGGTGATACGAGCACAGGTGGACATTAAGTAATAGTATGTCATCCATACAACACGCCTCCCTTCAATCCATGTATACCTACCAGGTACCTAGTATGAAGTCAACAAATGTCTTGGTGCTGATTAACTGACTGTATTTCAACAGCTACCTACCTGCCGTCGCTCACTTAAACCCGACATAATTCCCCCTTCCTGGATGACCTAGCTCTCATTCAACATGTTAGCTACCTACATTCCTATCCACAGCCTGCACTCACGAGGAACTGGTTATCTTGCTTTGGACATCATGCTTGATGCTTGATGGAGGATGAAGGGGGAAGGCGGAAGGGGAAAGGGGGAAGGAAAGGGAAGATGGAAACATAGCTGGTTGATAATATCCACCACACTTAGTTAGTAGCCAGCCAGCCATAACACAGTCATTACCGAGATTCTCAAGTAATCTGTGAGTGTCATATGCATGGAAAGGTAGGTGCACCTTATGCTTACGTTGCTTTCATGTGGTGATTGACAGTTCAGAGACCGGAACTAGACCTGGCGTGAGGATAACAGTAATATTGTAGTAATTATAACCAGCGGCGGCGAGGTAACACACAAATGATATCAAGTGATACTTACAAAGCACAATCTGCGGCTGCTCTTCGGTCCGGTGTTCATGGATAAATCCTCCTAAGGCGGATATCAGTCCGAAAAGTTTGCAGGATCGATAGGGCGTAGGGCAACACATCTAGATTCGATTCTCGAAGCACTGATAACCTTCGAACAAATAACCTTCGAACAAATAACTTTCGAACCAATAACCTTCGAACCAATAACCTTGAGTCTCTCAATCTTGGCAAGCAATGAGGAGATGAATGGTGTTGCGTGATTGGCCGGACCGCGATTCTTCACCTCAGCCTCAACCACGACTCCGAACGCTAGGTTCAGATTCCCGAAGACGCACATCATGGCCGTTTCTTGGCAAACAGGGGGTCAAAGTTCAGGGACAGCAGACATGCTGTCTTATAAGATGAGAGAGAGAGAATTCCTTATCTTGGATGCGTGTTCTTCAGTTCCAAACTTTTAAGTTTCTTGCTCTCTCGCTGTTTACATTCTACCCCTTTCCAGTCAGAAACCCTGTTGACTTAATCATGGCCAACCAACGCTTCATTTTCGCTACAACCGTTCTGGCCCTCCTTGTAAGCGTGGCCTCCGCCGCAGTCGGGACCATGTGTCGCAACCAAGAGTGCGTATTACCCTGCCAGACCTGGTCACGTTATATCATGACTTCAAGGCCTTACTAACTGCCAAAATAGTCCATACCAATCCTGCACCCTCGCCATCGTCGAGTCCGTCAGTCCGCCCTGCGAGGCGTACACAGACACGGCCGTCAAGACGTCCTGCCTCTGCAGCACCCTCAGTCTCCACGCGAGGTATGCGTAACAACACAACCGGTTGCCAAGTCGAGACCCAGTGACGCTAACTATACGTACAGCTGCTACTTCAAAGAGTGCACCACCAGCGATACCTTCGTCGACATCTTCAATACCATGTTCAACTCCAAGAGCTGCCCGAACGCGCCCCCTCTCACGACGGCCGTGTTCACAACCGCTCCTGCCGACCCAACGACTACTCCGGCGGCGACAACGGGGTCCGGTGCAACTGTTACCTCTGGCAGTGGCGGGGGTGCCGGCGCGGCCAGCACGACCACGAGCAAGAGCGGCGGTATGGCTCATGGTTCTAATAGCGTGTTTGCCACGGCCGGAGACCTGGTGTTCGGGTCCATTGCCGGGGTTTTGGGGCTCGTTGCGTTGTTTGGGGCGCTGCTTTGAAGACATGGACTGTAGTTGGATCATATGGAGGCCTAAGACAGTGGTATGAGAGATTCAAGACAGATGTGAATAGAGTGTGGAGCTTCATGGCCTCGACAAGAGCAGAAATAGAATCAAATTATACTGTAGTGTGTGTTTACTGGAATCTGCTCGGGACTTTTATGTAGGGTTGTGATTATGGCTGGGTGAGCTCATATCTGAGACCTTTGAACTGTGTTACGTGACTCTCTCTCTACTCAGATCTACTATGTCAAGCAACAATTACCTCGTAACACACAAACACATAGACCGCTAACCTATCGACAGTTATCCGAGCTACTAAACTGAACATTGACCCATTGGCAAGCCTTGACTCTTTCAAGGTAACACAAAGCTCGAGTTGACCTCGCTCCATTGACTGGTGCTTTCAATGTCAGGTAGCCAGTCTGCGAAGAACCCGTCAATGGGTTACATTAATGCCGCGGATTCTAACTGAAGGTATGTCGACCCGAGTGTCGTGTGCCACTCGACCGGAGACCCTGCTATTCCCTTGCTAGGTACGGCAGTCTGAACTTTCACGGCAAACTCTCTTTGGCCTGTTCGATCAACTCGCGGGAATTTGAGACTGATCTAGGTCTGTATAATGGAGGTTCTCATCACTCAAGACCAGTTGATCCACTTCCTCTCCACGTCATTTTCTCAAGTCATCACCAGCCTCATCACTGCAACCAACAATATCTGAACGCCCATATTTTCGAGCCATCGAATCATCGCCATGAAAAACTACCACCATCTTCGCTACCTTCACTGCCGTCCTCGGCGTCGTCTCGGCAAAATGCTACGGAAGCGGTGATGCCTGGCAGGACAAGGATCTAGCCCGGTCCAATGCCCAGCGCGCTCGCGAAGGCTATAACGGCAACGCCGGTGCCTTCCAAGGCGAGTACAAGCCCGCCGAGGTCAAGTCGCTCCGTGTGCAGGGCACGGGCACGCAGAGGTTTGACTTCTCGGTCCGGAACCTCAACAGCGGCGAGTCTCACGACATCGTCGATGCCGTGTACACGTTCCACCACGAGAACGAGATCAACGGCTATGACATGGGCGGCTCATCGGATTGGGAGCTGTGGCGATTCAAGTTCGTTTCTTTGTATTCTTCTTGTTCTTGATGAGGAATATGAACGTGCTGACCAGCTTTGGTTTCACAGTGCTGATCCCAACAATGGTATCTGCTACGCTGGCACTCACGAGTGGTCTTATCCATGATGCGGGACCAGGAATGATGGGTTATAAGATCGTAAAGCTGGATTAAGTTGTGAGGTAGTTCATGTCAAGTTTACGACCTGAAGTGTTCCAGACAAACGGCGATCCTTTTCTATTGTTGATTCCCGCTTCCTCCTCTGCCTCAAAATGTTTGGCGCCTATTATCTCAAGATCAGTTTTGTTATTCTGCTTTTTGTCATTCTCGCGTTCATCAGCTTTAGTGCCAACTATCTAGGCACTAGTAGGTTAGTTTACGAAGCTAATATTTTCTGTTCCAATCAATCCATGATGACTTGCCAAGATTTGTCCACGTTTGTGGGATAATTGGTCCAAAATCAGTCTGTTTGTTGGAATCACGCTACCGGTGCCGAAATAGCACCTAAGAGGATAGAAGTAATACAATCTAGACTGGTTTCTAGATAGCGAATACCCAGATGTCTTTTGCAGACAAAAATAAAGAGAAGGATGATGAAAACGAAAGAGAGGACGTGTCGGGTCAGGGACCGGGCTAAAGATTGTTTTCCTCCGTACCAGGTAACCCCTGCTCCATCCACAACGCTATGGATCTGTGAGTCACGATATCGCTGATTAGAATATGAATCAGTCTCCGCCGCTCAATGCTCAACAAAAGAAAGGCTCAGTGGTCTAGTCGTATGATTCGCGCTTCGGGAATATTCCCTCATCTGTATAAAAACCAGGTGATCAAAGATGTGCGAGGTCCCGGGTTCAAATCCCGGCTGAGCCCTCTATTTTTGGACAATGGGCATACATACAACTAACTCCATTTGCTAATCTTTTTTTTTTTTTTTTTTTTTTTTTTTTTTTTCTTTTTTTTTTTGTGCAGATGAACTCGAAGAAAGTTCATAGACCTCGGGGAGTTGGATCACCGAGGAAACTTGTTACCAGGCAGCTATAAAAGACAAAGAGGCATCAACTTAACCCCAGCAATATCCTCCTTTGTATACCGTAGATCGGAGTATGTCCTGGTTCCAAGAAATATCTGTGCGGCGAGTATTTGGCCGGGCTGTGGAGGGATACCTTGTTATTGGATCTGCTGTGGCGGGCGTGACGAGGCCGCCGCAATGGTACGCTCCATCATGGTCGTGGGCTTCGCTGGAAGTGTGCTAATGGAAATCTGTGAGGTAGTGGCAGTTGTGAGGAAAGTGATTCCAGGGCGGACATGGTTGACGTCAGGTAAAGCTGTCGGAGCGGATTCTACAGGCAGGTCGAGACAGTCACACTGGCCGATTTCGCGCCCGCGATCCATGTTCAGGCCAAAGACAACCTGGGTTACCCAGAAAGGAGAAAATGAGAGAAAAACAGTAATAAGAAGTTCTGAGGACGCCAAATCTACCACTAGCTTGTTCACACCGCTGCATTTTGGGCCTCTAATTTTCACTTGGGACCTTTAACAACCGCATTCATGCCCAATAGCTCTCCATTCAGCCTTTTTCTATCACGTTATTAGTAACTGACATCGCTGCACATACCGCTAGAACCCTGCCTTTACTTGGCCGTGACAAGAATTAGCACTAGGGGGCCAGCGTCAGTGATAGCTATCGCGGCGGTAGCATCAACACAACCGCTACTGTATTTTCCGCATCAGAGACGCCGCGATTTCGGCAGCTCTTAATGTCCGGTGCTGGGTGGCAGCATCGAGACTCACATCGGCATATATTCAACAAACCCAAGATTGGATGCTGTCGTTCTTTTTTGACACTTGAACGACTTGCAAGCCAAATCTCGAAGCTGGCCCAGGGAGCGATTATAAATGTCGTCCAAATTTGGCCTGGCAGTTTATCGCTATGTGCTGGCGCTTTGTGACCAGTCCCTTGTTTCAAAGACTCCCCACAACACATTGGAATGGGCGGTTATTAATTCGACGAATATCTCATCCGATAACCATTAGACATCATAAGAGGTCGGCAGAGTGCCGGATTAGATCTTCGATGCACTGCATAAAGCAAGTTATAGCTGTGACTCATGGTCAATCGTCCCTTTTCCATTGTTGGACTTAATCACGAGCAGTTCATCCCGCCATCTTACCACTTTCACACGAGCCTCATCTTGTTTGACCCTGTTGCCGCCCCAGGCTGTTGCCACCAGATGTCCAAACGACCCACACACAGGCGGTATATCCAACTGAAGTGCATCAGGACCCAAAAGTACGATTCGCCCTCTATTTCGATCCTTTAGGCCATACGGCGACACCAACGTCACATTGCGTGCATTGCAGTCCACGGAGATATTGCAAATGAGACGGCAATTTGAAGAATCACATGCTGGCCTGAACTACACCAGGGACTGAAGCAATAGCCCATCCACCACGCACTGTGCGTCACCCATCCCTCAAGGCCCCTCCCCGATTATCCATGGGCGACCTGTGGCCGCGAAAACAAGAAAGCATATATACTCTCGTCAGCCTCCAGGTAATTGCTCTCCAGCCATGTTACCTTGCAGGATATTATCCATGTGCTGCTTGTACGAAAGCAACCAGATTATCCATTCAGTGCCTAGCCACAGCTTTGGCACACTTCTACCCTTGATCCTGTACACCACAACGCTACCGTCATTGTAGTTTCCCAGCTCAAGTCTTGTTTGGGTAAACACATCACCGCGGTCGCCTCCATCAGTCAACTTTTCATACAGTTTGCCAAGTTTGACTATCTCAATCATGGAGGAGAAGCACGCCAATGCCAAGATCCTCTGGCCGCTCCCGCGGATTCCCGAACAGCGCGCCATGAGAACCGAGCCAGGGATCAAGCGGTGGTGGAGAAGGCGTACGCCGTCCGGCAAGGGTTTCATAGTGGGGATGTTCTGCGTCGCGGTGATTTTTGGTATTCTGCTTGGCGCCATGGGAATCATCGCGGGCACATCTAGACAGTCCGAGGTCTATGAGAACGCCGCCACCGCACCAGGCACTGTCGTCGCCACCAACACCAGCACCCACAGCGATGCTGGTCCCAACCAGTTTCCGGCGACGCAGATCAAAGGGGTCATGTTGACCGGCACAGTCGCCGCCGCTCCAGCTGCCACAGGCTCGCTCACCAATGCGCTGCCCTCGGCTACTACCACGACGGGTGTCTTTGTCCGTATTACCACATATACCGACGATGCAGCTGCCGCTACCATCACTCAGTCACCTGGGACATGCTTGAGCTTGAGTTGGCGAGACGCGACTCGACCCGGACCTCGACCTTCACCATCACTGATAGGAAGTGTCTAGGAATGACCGGCGCCAGGATATGTGCGGAGTGGAAGGCGTATAGTACGCACGCACGTGACGATTGTTACGAAGACGACGTACTCCGCTGCCGGGTTGCCAACGGTTGGACTGGGGCATTCTTTTTGGTGTGTTGGCTGTGGATGTGTCGATGGCATGCTTGGGGATCTAGATGCTATTTGGAGGACTGAGAGTGTTTGGGGAAAGCCCGTCAACAGTCTGGAGCTGTTCTTTTTTAGAGGAGTGAATCACCGTGGATGACATTTGCGATGATTTTATGCGGGAAGACGATAGACCTTCCTGTACGCTTTTGGAAGAATGATTGCGATGTTTTGGTCTGGCATGTGTCGTGGAGGATAATGGTGGGGTATGAGGAACCATTCGGCAGACATTTGTTGACCGTATTTTGCTGAGGGTTGGATGCGAAAAGGGGGTGGAGGAACAGGGGTAACTCAGTATGGACGCACATCCCAACTTTTCGTCCATGCTAGGTTTACACTTCAGAGATCATGAGAAATGCGAAATGGGACGACCTTTTTCTGCCACTCAAATGAGTTTGCCATTTACCGCACGGCAAGAAAACCTCAGGAGTTTGCTTTTGGAAAGCTCAATACCTTTGGTGAGATTTGAACTTTCGTTCAAGGCGGAGCTCCAAAGGCAAAGGATCATAATTTAGGTGGCTGCTCAGACGCGTCGTTTGGTGGTAACCCGTAAGTACCTTGGACTTTCTAGTTTCCCGACCGGCTGTTGCTTGAACGAATGGACACTCATTTCGCCTGTTGAGCGGACGGCCGGGCCAGTTCCAAGTTGTACCCCATTCCACGGTAAATAATCAACCTCTGGTACCTGCAAGGACCCCCTGTCTGGACTTTCGATAATCAACTCATTGGGGGTTGAAACTGCCTTTTACCAGGTTTGAGGGCTTTGTTATATATTTCTCCAGCCCATGTTGGGTCACTACCAGGGCTCCTGTAGGTACCAAAGGTTGATTATTGACCGTGGAATGGTGTATAGTGGGAATGTGCAGTGTTGCCTATCTGGAGTTTGTGGTTTGGAAATCTCCCAAAGTTGTCGTCCGAGAACACTTTGTGCTCAAGGCAAATGCGTTCGCCCATCGCTGGTCTGTTATAAGTGGGTGGTAACTCGTCATCGAGCGAACATTTTTGCCATACTAAATTTGGGGGAGATGAAAGCTTCACTAACAGCGGGTCCTGTCCCACGTCAAATCGAGGCGTGCAGCTGGCAGGCACGGCAGCACGGGCAGAAAGTCAATCTCGCCTCTTGCCGACTGCTGACTCATCCGCGATAAGATTCGGCTGATCAAAGGACAGCGGGGCGGAACTGAGAAAAAAAAAATCGAAAGAAAGGTTTCAGCGGCGGGGTGCATGGCATTTTTTTTCAGAGCGAGATTACTTTTAGGCGGAGAGCGCACTTATCGGCCAGATCACCCAAATTATTCGAGCCCAACACCAACAACAGGACAAACTTGATCGTCCACCACTTCCGCAAACGGGCACTCGTAGCCCAGGTTTCGCTCAGAGACCGCTGTCTGCCTCCCCTCAATCCCTCGATCGATCGATCAACCGACCGACCGACAGACAGATACCCTTCAGACGATGCCGCATCCCGTATCGCCTCCCGCGCAATCGACGAATATGGTTGTGCCCATCAAGGCGCCCGACGGCGCTGCCCCTCCTCCCTCGCAAGCCGATGTCACATCGCTGCTCAACACAATATTCACCGCAAAGACCTCGGCTGCCTCCATCGATGCCTCCTACGGCCTCTGCGAGCTGCTGCTGAACTCGGTCGGCTTCCGCGGCCTCCAGCAGTACGGCGTACTCGCCGAGATCAAGAAGGCCGCCGCCGACAAGAAGAGCGGCCTCCGTCGCGAAAGTGCCCAGAATCTCCTCGGTGCCATCTTCGAACGATTCCCTGCTCGCCAGCCCATCAGCGAGGCCATCCTTCTCCTGCAAGATGGTGGCGTCGTCCCGGTTGCGCTTGAAGCGCTCGCCGACAAGGGTTCCGTCGTTCGCGACGCCGCCCAGTACGGACTCGATGCGCTTTTTGCCGGCCTGAGCCCCGAGGCTCTTGTCGCCGGCCTGTTGCCCGCGCTGACAGCATATCTGAAGAAGGGCACCGCAAAGTGGCAAGGACAAGTCGGCGCCATGATCTTGATGCAGAAAATGGCCGACAAGTCCAAGATCACAATCGGAAGCACAAAAGAAGAGGCTGAGGAGCAAGACATCTTGCGCGAGGCCATGGGCACCAAGCTCGCCAGCCTCATTCCCATCGTCGAGGCGGGGATGTTGGACATGAAGACTGAAGTCGAGAAGCAGTCGTTCAAGACCATGACTTCACTCACCACTCTGCTTTCCAACGACGATGTGGCTCCGCGCATCCCGCTGCTCATCGAGACCATGCAAAAGCCCTCGGCCGAGGCCATCCAAAAGGCGATCCACGCCTTGTCGCAGACGACCTTCGTTGCCATTGTAACCTCTCCGGTCCTCGCGCTGCTCACACCT